AACATAGATATTACTCAGTCGTACTCCACTCTATCAAGCTCTTCCTTTACCTGTAGGCTGTTTTTCCTACTCATCTCTGCGCTCTTCTCCATKATATTGAGTACAAAACAGTATTCAACCATCGACGCAAGGATGAAAAAGAACGACACGATCAGATAGTAGTCTATCGCCTTWAGGTAAGAGATTCTCGGAAGACTCGAATTAATGGATTCAAACAGAACCATAGTACTAAGAATACAAGTTACAGTCAGAGATACTCTCGCGGGMACCGCGTTCTTGTTGATCCAGAAGCTCAACCACGAAATGAAAACAATGAAGGATGAAGGAATGTAGTGTTGAACGAAGAAATATGAAGAACGGCGTTTGAACTTGAATTTAATGTGCAGACTATCAAAGGATCCTGAAGAAAAGAGATATGTCATATAGTTCTTTACATCCCCTTCTATTTCCCATTTTTACTTCCAAATATTRTCGWACCCTGAAACAACCTCTGGGCTGAACTAAATCAGGGCACGGCTCACTCATATCCCAAACCCTGAAACAACCTTTGGGCAGACCTAAGTCAAGGCATGAATAATTCATAGATCAAACCCTGCAACAACCTCTGGGCTGATCTAAGTCAGGGCATGGATAATTCAGAGATCAAACCCTGCAACAACCTCTGGGCTGATCTAAGTCAGGGCATGTCTAACTCACAGATNACCTCTGGGCTGATCTAAGTCAGGGCATGTCTAACTCACAGATAGAACCCTGCAACAACCTCTGGCCTGATCTAAGTCAGGGCATGGATAATTCACAGATCGAACCCTGAAACAACCTCTGGGATGATCTAAGTCAGGGAAAGACTAACTCACAGATTAAATGAAAATTTAGCTTGTTAGGATTTGTATGAACATGAAAACATGAAAACATGAAAACCCGGAGAAAGGCCTTCAAATAAAGGGGAGACTCAACAGATGCTGCTCATGTGATGCTGAGTCCAGCAAAAGAACCCGATTCCACAGTTAAGATGCAAGTGCACTTGAAAAAAAACCACTTTGAGCCATCTTAAATCTTATAGCATTTTTGAAAACGCCAAACATCTAGGTAATGTTCGTTGGGGGGAGGGGTGGGTGAGGAGATTTACCCAAAACCGCACCTTTACTGTTACTTGACTCCCKTTTTGAAGTCTGGATGCTTTTCATGTCGAATTGTGCCATTTCTGCAGCGTAGACTTCGATRGAACTGTCCTCTTTACCTCGAACTCTCCAGTTATACACAACATCTTCTATCGTGTAGGCATCTACAAACAACAGCTGAATAACTGATTGTTGTTGAAATTCTTCACGTGTGTGCGTGCGCAATTCTTTATTAATTACGGACTGTTTCTAATGAGTAAATTTCGTTTGCCAAAATTCACCTCCCGCGGCACAGTCATTGGGACAAAACTGGCGACTTCCATAAACCAATCACAGAGCTCGATGTAAACCTGAATTTGCCCGAGTGACGACGAAACAATAGTCACAAGTCGAGGTTAGGCTTGATCCGTTCATAAATTTACTGTATTTTATTAAATACAACCTCCACTGAAAACCCTTTTTTTTTGTGCTCACTTAAAACGAATTCGGGAAAGATCTATTGATAGCAGTTGAAGCAAACGACGCGCGACATGAGAACAACCGGTAAGTAACGATTAGAAATTGATGACTTGCGTTTAAGCAAATCACAGTGCGGCATTACTCTCTCGATCCCAAAGCCATCATAGTCACTCTACTGCGCATGTTGTTTGGACATGCGCAGTTAGTAGGGTGAGATAACCGCTCATCCGATCGGCCCCGTCACGGTCACGGTACTCGCTTTCGTACCAATGGCTTTCACAGTTATACGAAATAAACCTTTTGGTTCAAGAATCCAACTCATCAAAAAGAAAAGTYTGTTTTTGTAATATTTCTTAACATGGAGTTTTAAACGGTATTATAGAAGATTTGAAGAAAATATGACTCACAGCTTTCGATCTTCAGTAAGCAGACCTGAGTATCCATGGGGAACATGCTGAGGTTCATCTCGCAGGACGCGGTGAGTGTGATCCTGCAGAAAAAGATGGTTAACTCAAGTAATTAAGAAATTAGAGTTACTTCTCCTCTTTGTATGATTTATATGATTTTTCTACGCAAAATATTTYTTTTGCGGAAAGGAGAAAAACGGTAAATCTGCACCGAAAGAACACAAGGGGAAAAAATCACTACAAAAAATCAGCAGCTCAAACGGTGCTACAGAGAAATAGAACATCAATTTTAACGAACCCTGAATTGAACCTCTGGGCTAATTTAACTCAGGACATGACTAACTTACAGATCACACTCTGAAAAAAAACTCTAAGCTAATCTAAGTCAAGGCACGGCTAACTCCCGGATTGAACCCTGGAACAACCTCTGGGCTAATCTAAGTCAGTGCATGGCTAACTCACAGATAAAACTCTGGAACAACCGCTGGGCTGATCTTAGTCAGGGCACGGCTAGCTCACAGATCAAACTCTGAAACAACCTCTGGGCTGATCAAAGTCAGTGCACAGCTAAATCTCAGATTGAACCCTGGAACAACCTTTGGGCTGATCAAAATCAGTGCACGGCTAACTGATAAAATTGAAATTTAGCGTGTTAGGTTTTACAGAGAGTGGAACACCAGAGAAGCCGGAGAAAAACCCTCGAATTGATTAAATGAGGRGCCTATAAACAAATTCTACTTGTATGTGATACCGAGTCTGGTAATTGAACCTGAGTCCCCAGAGGGGAGTGCATTCAACTAYTCTACCACATACCCCCTCTACCTGGTGCTGTAGTAGATTTTCCCATCAGGCCAGATCATAAGCCTCATATTCTCTCTCGTCACTTTGTGGAAGTTTGACGACTTAACGTTAACAAAATATGTATCTGGTGTCCAAAAATATTTCTTTGGGTCTGCCGCCATGTTGAAGATTTTGTCCACGCCGTGTGCCAGCCGCTCGTCTGTCCACCATTGTCTGAAGAAGACGTCTAGTGTGAAGTCCTAAAATAAAAAGATTTTAAAAAATTATTTCGTGAGAATTTGTTGCCGAGTATTACCAACCTACCACTTGTACCATTTAGCATTCTACACTCATACAACTACCTCTACGATGCGGCGACCATCTTGAATAACAAGGCTGATTAAGCTTTGTTACAAAAATGRCGCAGTCGATTGACATTTACGGTTCACAACAAGACAACTTGACGAAATGCACAAGTTTTACTACAACTGAGGAAATTTCTCAAATATCGTGGGGTCTTCTTTTTAGCATCTTTATTTTATTTTCCCCCTTCGGGATGAATGCCTTGCAATTCAAGATGGCTGCCGCATCGTCGAAATAGTCCATTCATATGTGACATCCGCTAACATCCTTGATTGCAGGCTCATTAATACAGGTCTAGCTTGAGTCTGCAGTCATTAAAAGCATTTGTATACGTTGAATAAGAAAGAGGAGCTATTCCACAGAAACTAGAGACCAATGATAAATTATTTATATTCTTCTATCCAAGCTTATAAAAAAATAATCATAAGGAACTATTCTATTCAGTCTATTAAATGTGACCTTACCATGTCATCTTCCCGTACTTTCCCAAAAGCCATAATCTTCATTTCTACGAAAACTTCGACAGCACCTCCTGTGAAAAGTTAATTCAAGGTACCTTTTACCCGACAAAAGTTCTGATATAAGTTCTGCTAATTTTACATCAATAATAAATCATCTTTGTGAGGATACCAACATCACAATCAGTACATGGTTTACAGAAGGGTGTTCAAAATTAAGCACCTAACGCAGGTTCAATAAAACTGCAGAATTTTGACGCATTATTTATAACATTWAAACAACTTCCTTTGACTCAATAAAAACCTCAAAAAGCGAAAAGAAGTAAGTCCTCTTGACAGAAACGAATGGGAGACTAGGTACTACTCTACCGCTCGGAGCCGCGCCGGACTGTGCAAAGCGTTTGGGTAGATATTTGGTAGTTAGGAAACTATGACAGTTTTTTGAAAAAGCAAAAAGCGAAGTCGTAATGATTTTTAAATTGAAAATGAAAGCTTGGGTGACGGGTAGGAATAATTTTCTGTTTATATGTTACTGGAGCTACTGACTATCCACCCAAAAGTATTGTCCATTTCCCGTGCGTCAAAGTGCCCAGTACCCCGTCGTTTCTGCAAATGACTAACCTGTGTCGTTGGGACGAACCCACTTGTCATAATTTTTTAACTTCATTTTCTCTCGTATGATTTTCGCCGCTATAGAATAACTGGCACCTGAAAAATAGAAAGGAAAAGTTATCTTGAGTCGCGGCTTCTGATGGTGGAGAACACCATTCAACCAGCAACTGATTGGTGGAGAACACCATTGAACTGCAGCTGATTGGTGGAAAACACCATTGAACTGCAGCTGATTGGTGGAGAACACCATTGAACTGCAGCTGATTGGTGGAAAACACCATTGAACTGCAGCTGATTGGTGGAGAACACCATTGAACTGCAGTTGATTGGTGGAAAACACCATTGAACTGCAGTTGATTGGTGGAGAACACCATTGAACCAGCTGTTGATTGGTGGAGAACACCATTGAACCAGCTGCTGATTGGTAAAGAAACTCATTGATCCAGCTGCGATTTGGTGGAGATTCTACTGACATCTCGTGACAAAACTTACCTGTAGCATTAACATGTTTCGAGGTCTCTCCTTCTTTCTGRATTAATCCAAAAGTTTTTTCGCTGCAATAAAATAATTATCTATTTAAAGAATTATCTATTTAATTTATTTATTGGCATACTTTTTTAATGTTGTCTTCTTAAAATTTATCTCATTATTAAAAATATCAATTCTTTAATGATTGTTTATCTATATATAATTGTTCATGTATAATTTGTTTATCTCATGAAAACGAAATCTGCGCGCAAATTGCACTGTTCCATYGTGTTGGAATCTATTTAACTGATCCTATAATGAAAACTCCTAAATTTCTTTTATATTCCTTTAAAGTTAACGAAGCTTGTTTTGGTGAAATATCTATAAATAAATCAAGTCTTTTTTCAAATATTTTTGCAACCAAATCTTGCGAGCAGAAAGAGGCACGTTGACCGTTGAAAAACGAAAAAARGGATGAAAAATATCAGTCACTTCTAAATAAACTCCTTGTGTTCATTGTGTAATTTAACGATAACTAGTTGCTATTTATTTCAGGATTTTTGGCGCATTTTTTCCTGAGTGTTTAGAAGCGCTGTCTATTTATACGTACCTCAAGTAGTTCAAGCTGTACAACCAAGTGAAGACTGGCAACACATACATGGCTTCCTCGCTAAGCTCTGTTCTCCTTCACTCTTCAACCTGCAAATTCAATTTAAATAAAATTTAAAAATTAAAAACATTACATTCTGGTTGTAGCCAAAAGCATTCAATTCCCAAAACAATTTGTTCATTTTTCTTCGTTAAAATAACTGAATGATGAAAACATTGATAGGTTTAGTTTCAAACATATACCGCCAAAGTATTTCCCCATCGCGACAACTACGAAGTTACTTGGACTAAATTGTTTTCGATTGAAGGAGTTTTAAGGACATTCTGACGCCAAAACACGGCTGTACGACAAGCTGTGGTCTCTTACAAGGATTTTTATAACTTTCTATATAAAGGAATTCGTTAAAACTGGTTTTGAACGATCAAAATATCTCAAACTATTGATAGCTTTTAAAACTTGAAAAAAAATTACCCAAATTATTCTTGAAAACACGGTAAAAAAAGCAGCCGGTTAATACTGAAATTTGTGCTTAGTTTAGACTAGGAGAAAAATGAGAATATTGAAAACAGCATTAATYGTGGCTTTGGGGAGGGGATTTTAATTTGTCAGTGTGGTAATTGGAAATACAGTCTGCTGCCTCAGAGGACAAATATCTAATTGAAGATAAATTACTGTTGCTTGTAAATATACATGATAAAAATCACGCGCAAAAGCCTTACAAATAATGATTACAAATTTGAAATCGCACCCGCGGACTTGGTTTAAACTGAACTGAATAGTTTCACGTTTTCACGAGAATGTAACGGGCATTATGCTAAACGTCTTATGAAAATACAGGAAATATAAATGTAAATACACTGTACGTAGATACAAACAGTACTTCATAACTAGTACCAGTGTAACAGCAATAGAATGATAAATTAATCGCTTTGAATTGTCAATAATTCCATAACTAGGCTGATTTACCTGTGATTCGAAATTCAGATGATGAAGATGTAAGATAGATGTCTAAGGTAAATTAGAGCTGCCAATTACTAGCGAATTTCATATATACGACTCGTACGTATTTAGAAGCTGATGCAGAGTGAGTCACAGCACAGATCGCAAGCTGTATGTAATCATTAAGATATAAACCCCTCAAAGTGTTTACATAACAAACTTCCAAATCTTAATTGTCGTACAATTCATGCTCTTATTAAGGACACGTCAAGAAATAAGACGGTGCGGTCATTAAAAAATAGAAATAATAGGTTTTCTTTTCCAGATAATGCATTGGAAGAAACAAAAAAAATTCTAGTCGCAGTATTGAAAATTCTCATAAACAGTTTAGTGTTTTACAGTTATGGGTGAAAATCAAAATTTGTCAGAGATTTCGTGATATGTAAATAGCTCGAAATTAATAACAATAAGAGAACAAATGCAGTGATAATGAATTTGTGGTTCAGAGTTGGTTTTCAACGAAGAAAAAGATTAAAAGCCCTGGGCTGGGGCGAGTGATGGGGATAGTTGTAAAAAATCATTAAAAATACACTCACACAAGTAGTGCATGAGTGTTTTTAGAGTGTGTTGGGGAAAGAATTGTGTGGTGATTGATAATAACATTCCAAAGCTTTTAACATTGGCGCACATATTTATATTCTTTATTTTAAGTTAATGAATTAATTCCGTTAAACTTTTTTTCATGAATTGAGACAAGTCATTAGAACTATTGAGTCCTCATGAATGAATACCTAATGGAAAAAAGAAAAGAACAAAAGAGAACGCGAAGAAACGAGTAAATGAAAGGAAAGGAAAAGAAGGAAAGCAAAATCTTAAGGRAAAAGATGAAAAAGATAAGAAATAAAATTGAGAAAGCAATTAAAGAAAGCCAGAAAAAAACTAAAATCAATTCTCAATCAGTCTCTCGTTCTCATACGTTGTTTCGAATATATGAAAATGAGTAAGACTTGCCGCAACTATAATGAAACAATCGATAGGACTTAAAAAGAAAAGGTGCTTAAAACAATCATAAAAAAACATGAATGGTTTCTTTCAAACGCTTTAGTAATTAACCGAGATAAAAATCATTAAGATAGCTTTTTATTGCTTTAAATCCCGTTAACAAACTAAACAAACCATGATATAACGAGATACACGAAAAGTAATAAACCATTAAAGTGGCTTTCATTTGATTCTACTAAAAACAAACAAATTAGAACGAATTTACGAAGCTCCGAAAATATTTCATTATCTCAACACTTAAATGGGTTCCAAGAGTTMAAGAATGCGTGGAAGGGTATATTTGGGTGGAATGTTTTCGGCCATACCAAACGACAACAAAATTTAAGGACGCATCTTGGTTTTAAAACAGCAAAACGYATGCCATGACCAGTTAAAAGGGTCACAAACATTCAAAGAATGCATAACATTGAAATGGCTTTTTTCGCATGCTAAACATTAAACAGAATAACGATTACCTAAATGATGTCAAAAACGATTCCAAACAATCTTTTTGACAACTAAAGCAGGTCGGGGTTTTTCAACATTTTGGATCAACTGCGAGGAGTATTGTTTGGCTATGCTTTTGACTATTACACAACTAGATMAATAAAGTTTGACAAAAAATCCATTAAAGTGAAAAAGTCTTTTCAGCAGTTGAAAGGTTCCCACTATTTTGGACTGAATATGCGTAAAAAAACGCTTTGCAATGAAAAAAAATATAAAGAACCTCTATTGATTATTGCCCAACTAGAAAAACAAAGATAGCAAAACAAAAAAACAAAACTGAAAACAAACAAGCAAACAAACCAACAAAAAAACCAGCAGTCTTCTTAGCAGTTAAAGGGGTTGCGACTATTTCAAGAATGCGTATGAAAATGGGACCTACAATAAAAAACATAAATAGTCTAAAAAATATTTTTTWATAAAAGATGAAATGAAATTTGTCGAAATATCAAGCTCCTGAGTTTTCAATCTTATCAAATGACAATYTTTCAGTGTTTGAATCTACTCATGCTTTATAACGATTTTCCCTTCCTTACCGTCCTTTTTAGCAAGACATCCTTTCTTTACCGTTATTTATAATTGATTGTGATTCAAACGACGCAAAACCAGAAGAAATTGTCCAAATGCACCCCTTTAGTTTCAAATATTGAGTAAGTAAAAAGAATTTGCGGTTTGTTCGTCCCAATATTTATAAATTTTGTTAGTTTCCCATTATGAGATTTTCCCATTATGAGATTTTTAAATATATTCAAATAAATGGCGTCCCTTAATCTTTTACTAATTCTCTCTTCCTTTTTCCCTTTTTATTTTCCATTTAGTAATAAATAGATTGATTAGGAGCCAACATTGCGTAAAATGCAAAAACGTTCTTCATGATTTAAAAAAAKAAATACTGATTTCTAGGGCTGTTTCGGCGTAAAATTCTCTACATATTGCAACTCCTACTTTACATAATTTCGTGTATTGGCATATCTATGGTTTCTGATAATCTTAGGGGGGAAAGACACTGTTTTGTAAAAAAACGTTCAATTTTTCAGTTATCTCATCGGAAAACTCATGCTCGTATAGCCCCTCTAAACTKCACAACTTAATCAGCGTTGCGAGAAAATTAGACCCACAGAAAAACTGACTCCATAAAGAAATAAAAAAAGAATCGCTTTCTGCACAATGGAAAAATTTAGAAATYAGTGCTGCAATGATTATTTTTTATTTTAATAAACTGGATTTCCCAATAAAAGGACCGAGAATAGGCAGCAGGCGGGCGTCATAAAGCAACACCTACTAAGACYCCCCTGCTGTTGGAGGATTTGTGTGGTGATTAATTTTGGAAATATTGTTTATTACGACTGTTTTGATTTCAAATCGATGGAGACCGCATTCAAATGACTGTTATAAAACACTTATTAGTTTAGCTGCAGCAAATCTGTGGAACAAAGAGCACTTATAATAGCTTTAAATAAGTATTATAAAAGATGTTGAACACATTATGTCGTCTTTAAATTAACTTCTTTGCGTTTAATGTARGCGACAAACCTAAAAGTTGATAGATAACTGTAGTGGGCTATCGAACTGGGAGAAAAATACTTTGAAATTATCAATAGGTTTACTACTATACCTTTGGCTTTCAAGGCGAGAAATATTTGTCCAGATCCGTCGCAACAGGATCATATATTTGTGCGCGTCTCAAGTAATCCTCGTTTTAAACCTCGTCGTCTACCGAGGGTAAAGCCACCTTACCCTGGTAAAAAAAAAAAAGAAAGAAANAAAAACCACACAGAAATTGGAAGTAAATCAATCTGCCTACATCAGAAGAATAAAAATAATTTCAATCCTTTAAGGTGATGACTGCTTACCTTCTTCATCATGCCAAACCCCAAGGTGTCGAATTATTAAACGTTATATTTTCTCTCTCTTTTCAGTACTCAAATCACAGAACGAATAACTGACTAGAGTGAGTCAGTGAATTATCCGTTAGATAAAAGGACGGTATTGCATAACATGTAGCTAAAAGCTTTCAAAATAATTAAATTAGCACTAGGGGAGTCCGCTATTCTAAAAGCTTTCAGATATTAAGAAAAGATTCCAGGTGTTTGGAAAATATAAAAAGAACGATATTTATAGTGCAAGGGCAAGTTTATAGAATCTTATTTTTTGGCGCCAAAACTAGTCTGGCGCGAGTGCAAAACGTCCAATGGACGTCTCTCCTCAAAAGTATGTATAATGCGAGGCTAACATGAAATTACAAAAGGAATACCACAAATTCCATCAATAAGTCATCATGTTAGCCTTGCATTCAGGTTCTTTGTACACTGCATGATCTTAAAGTGCCTATCACCTTTCTGACAATATTAACAATATTGATTCCACATAAGGTAAGATGTTGAAAAGCCCGAAAACATTTTATAGGTTGAGTGCAGCTTCTTGAAGTTATAAAGGTTTTTCCATGCCATATGCTAATGCTGTGACGTATGAGGAGTAATCATTTAATATACAAAGCAGAACTGGCACAGATAAATTTAATTTGAGATCCGTCATCGTTTTTCCCATTGCTCTTATWAAAAATATTTCCGGTTAGTTTTCACGTAGTAGCCGGTGTTTCGAATTACGAGGAACAACAAATAACCATAAATGACTCCTCATGCATCACAGAATTAGCATACGACATGGAGCCGTACTCAAGCTATGAAATTTTTTCGGGTTATTCAACATCTTRCCCCATGTACAACCAATACTGTGAATATTGTCAGAAGGGTGATAGGCACTTTAAGATTTGAAGGCCACTGTAAAATTTGTACATATCGATACAAAGTTGAAAGTATTTTTTGTAAGCAAAGCCAGAATGGGATCATGTCATTTTTGTCTTCGAAGAAAAACTAGCAGATTTTGAAAGCTAGGTGAAGAAATTTTTTAATCTTCCCGGATTTTCACGAATTAGTTTAGTCGAGATTTTTCTTATTTTTATTTTTTCAAAGAAATACTTCATATACATTTAACTCATCCTCGAAAATGAACTTTTTTTCTTAAGCAATTCATTTAACTGAATTATTAAGAGTTAAAAGCTGTATAACACAGATGATAATAAAAATCATACTTATAATGCATTAGAGAATATATCATATTCTAAGATTATATCGTGTTCCCTTCCTCAAGTCATGACACTTGTCCATCGACAAAAGCAAACTAAGAACGCTTAGGTATCCTAGACAACCGTTGCCAAGGCAAAGAGCGTAACCAAGACAACCAAGATTGCACAGACAGGTAACCAAGACAACAAAAGGTAACAAAGTCAACTCACTTTCATCAGGAGAACCAACGCAGTTATCAAACAATGGCATGAATGGTCAAGAAATCAAAAGAAAAAACGAACAGTTATGTTTAACATATCGGTAGAATCGTATTGCTTTTCTTCTTTTCCTCAGCCCGTTTACTGTGATATCTTCTTAATATTACATTTATGTACTCTGATTTTCCCATGCTTATACTTCTCCCAGTGCCTCTCGCTTGCACTGTAATAGGAAATCTGGCTACAGTTGGGGCTCACAGCAAATACGTTGACTCTGGGTACGCGAGGTGCAGGGTCCAACCACGATGAGATGGCACGTATGCCACCAGTCACACAACGGCTCTTGTTTAGATAGTACTTATATCCTGTCAGTCAAATATACAGGCAAATATGGCTCAACTAAGGTCATTCCTATTTCATAAACGTTGAAATAAACTATTTCATAGCGAAATAGTGCTACTGTTAACCATTAGAGAGGTACAAGATGAAGAACATATTGCACTTACCTGTTAGGTTGCGGCACTTGTTGAAGGTAAGCTCGAGTTTATGCTTGAGTGTTCTCCAAGCGAAGAGAACTCCAATTATTTCGTCACTTTCCTGTAATGACGAAATGTTAGGCCTACTTGTTCATGCTTGCTATATCAATCAATCAATTTACTCCTCCTATTCTTGGAATAGCATTTAGGTGAGAGTAGACTAAGACTTTACAAGATTGTTAAAGTGCCTATCACCCTTCTGACAATATTCTCAGTATTGATTCTACATGTGGTAAGATGTTGGATAACCCGAAAAAATTACATAGTTTGAGTGCGGCTTCTTGAAGTTATGAAGGTTTTTCCTTGTCATATGCTAACGCTGTGACGTATGAGGAGGCATTTATGGTTATTTGTTGTTCCTCGTAATTCGAAACACCGGCTTCTATGGGAAAACTAACTTGCAATCATTTCTATAAGAGCAACGGGGAAAACAATGACGTATTTCAAATTTAATTTATATGTACCAGTAGTGTTTTGTATATTAAATGATTACTCCTCATACGTCACAGCATTATCATATGGCGTGGAAAAACCTTCATAACTTCAAGAAGCCGCACTCAAACTATGTAATTATTTCGGGTTATTCAACATCTTATCCCATGTAGAATCAATACTGAGAATATTGTCAGAAGGGTGATAGGCACTTTAAGGGTTTTAGTAAAACATGCTTTTCTGATCTTAGTTTTTATCATTTGYGTATGTATTTGTGTATAATAAGCGAAAATATTTAGACCAATATAAAACTTAATTTTTTTTGTGTCGTCTACGTGAACTCCAAGATTTCAATAGGCTTGGGCGTAATGTTTTCCCATTTCAGACCACGTGTCATTCCCTAGAGTGTCATTTCTTTGTTTAACGGGTGTACATAAGAAGACACATGAATATGGATACAACTCAAAAAAAGAATCTTATTCTCAAGAGAATTCCACATGGTCTGAAATTGGAAAACATTACGCCCAAGGCAAAAAGGTCTTTTCCAACTTCAACAGTGAGGTAGRAGAGTCCAAGAGTAAGGGGACTGGGGTGAGCGCGCACGTTTTTTTTTCTTCACGAATGTTCCCGCCAAATCCACAGAAATTCATAGAAACGGGTAAGCGCGGCTTTTTCTTCTTCACGAAAGTTCCCGCGCCAAATCCACAGAAATTCATAGAAACTACATTTGTCTCAAAGGGCTTTTCTATGCTATTGTGGAGCATTCATGTCTAGAAGGAGGGGAGGGCCGGAGGAACAGCTGTAAACATATGTGCCTAGTTTGCTAGCCCTCCAGCTTAGCTTTGAAATTTTAAAATGGTTATGGTAAATTTTAAACTGATAAAATAACGATAAACTAATTATTACCAGAAAATGTCACTATCTAAATAATTGACGGCCCTCCGGCCCTAATTAATTACTCAATCCTCCACCTTTCTAAAAACTAAATGTTCTCTTAATTATCTTTTCTACTCACTTGTGATTCCTCATGGATATATTCGAATTTCAGGTACTGACAAGAACCTTTATTGTTTTCTATGCACCCTTTTTCGCACATCATGTTGAGGTAAGGCGAGTTAGGCGCCAGAAATAGATAACACAGAATACCAACGATGAGGGAAAATACCAGGAATAGCAAAGCTTTTTTCCAAATACCTGGAAAACACAAAAAAAGTAATCTAGTACGCAATAAAAATATTTTTAAATTTCAAAAAAAAAAGACAAAAAAAATCATACCATGCTCAATAAAAAGAAATCCCACCTCTAAGGTATTTCTGTATCTTTGTTATCTTGTCATGACATTTACGTAATTCTGCTAGGGTTCGTCTTTGATGCAAGTCGCTTATTCCCAGGACAATAGATACGAGGCACCTGACTAGCTTGATGTCGAGGTCACTGTCGCTTTCCATCGCCATTCCAAGTAATGTTGGTGTGGGATCACCTGATTTTGGGAACACAGAAATCATGGTTGGTTTTACTTTTATTGATGCTAGTGCTACTGTTGCTGCTCTGCTGCTGCTACTGTTGCTACCAATGCTGCTGCTGCTCTCGCTGCTGTTGATTCTACCGCATGCTGCTGCTATTAATACTGTTGCTACTTTTACTGCTGCTGCTGCTGCTGCTGTATGCTAACTCCTTACAATTTTCAGAAGCAGCAGAATCTTGGATTTCCGCCTCCAAAGGGTTTCTAGCAACAGCAGATCCTCGATACTGTTCACAGTTGGATGTATATACCAGATCTCCTGCCTGAACTTTGCCAACAACTTTCACTTCCACTTCACCAATAATACAGACCAAATCACAATCTAAAACCAGAAAAACATCGAAGATATGGTTTTCCAACAAGGTATGGTTAAAAGTAATAAACTTTTTATTCAAATTGGGTAGCACAAAATGTTTACAACATATAACAGACCAGTGGCTCTTGCATTAGCTAATAAAGGCAGCCTTCAAATTTCATTGAACCCTGAAACGACCTCAGTCTGGGTTGCTCAAACTCGAATTTAATCTTTTTGGTTTTGCGAAGGGAGGAAAACCGGAKAACCCTGAGAAAAACTCTCGAATAAAGAGAGAGACGTAAAAAACTCTGCTCACGTGTAATAATAATTAGCAATTATTCGCCGAAGGCGAAGTGAATATTGAGGTGAATATCGTAAAATGTTCACCTCCAACTAACCAATGAGCGCGCGCGTTCTTATGAAGTACACAAGTTGATATATGCTAATGATATTTATTCAGAGTGCTCATATCTTCGTAGAGCTTTTCGAAGGGGCCCCATGCAGCTAATAATATCAATTAAAAAACAAATATATGCGCTAAAAAAATAGAGATAAAAATRCGATTCAATCGAAAAATTGAATAGTGTGATATCGAGTGACCACAAGAATTAGAATGCAAAGGAACAAATTGTTCAGTGTCGATAGACTTACCTAGATGATCAGGATCGCAGATTGCAGTGCGACCGCGAAAAAAAGCCGTTCTGCTGATAACACCAGCAAGGCGCGCGTTCCGAGCATTCTCACTCGTTATGAAATCAATGTAGGTATCTCCCTCGTCGTCTTCTAGAAATGCGACAACATCTCCCTTCTCCATATCTGACGGAGTATCACCTTCGTTGGTTTGAACTCTCATGAAGTAAGCGATGTCGTGGTTCTCGGTTTGTATGTTTTCACAGAGAATATTCGTGATTTTAGCTGTTTCGGCATCGAGGTGTCTACAGCTAACATGATGGGCTCGAGGACCTGTGAACGTAAGGATATGGTACGTCAAGATGTGGTCAAGATGTGCTCTCATTGCATTATAAACAATACAGAACTTATTTCTGGTTGATATTGGGTGAAACGCAGGGATATCTAGCTTGATATGCTCAATTTGCGCAACATAGAGTGAAATAGCACTGGACCCATAACTGAGCTTGTGGTACGCCATAGGCCAAAATAGACCGATTTCATTGGCATAGTATGATCATGATTGATGACTAACTAATGCGGTGCGCCAATGAACAGATATGCGCTTAATATACTCAATTTGTGCAACAAAAAGTGAAACAAAAGTGGACCCAATACTGAGCCTTAGGTACACCCTAGGCCAAAATAGATGGATTTGACCGAGTATGACTGATGACTCATACTGTGGGCGACTGAATAAATATTATTTTACTAGGCTTCTTCTTTGTCTTTTATCRTATAGTTAGTCCGCCACGATAACCATATAGATAGCTAAACAAATAACCTATAAAACTATTTGCATGAGAGTAAGGGATTGTATTCCAGTTCAACATCCTATCACAGCTAAAAAAATTACATACGCATGCGCTAATCATCAGCTTGTGAATCTGCGCAAATATTTCATCTTACCATCTGCTGCACCTGTTGTGAATCCTGAATTATCTCTCTCTCTGTGGTGATCTGTGATAAAAGATTGTCACGGCGATAAGAAAGGAAGGAAAGAAGGAGGCAAGGAGGGAGAAAGGAAGGAGAARAGGAAGGAAGGATAGGAGGCAAAAAAGGAGGAAGGCGAAGAAAGCAAACTTATCCTGAGACAATTCCACATTAAACAGGTAAGATTATTATTATTTATTCAAAGGAGAACTGACCAAGTCAAGTTATGAAGCATACATTACCATGCTGTGTTGGTGTACGTCCACTTTTCAGTACAAACTCATACGGCATTAGCGATTCTTCGTGGCCATTAACATATCTTAGACACACTAAAAGTTGAAAACGGTTGTTGAAGGCGCCCTTGGATTTGACGAGTTTGTAGACTTCTTTTCCGTCGACTGTCAGGTACACTGAGTCCAGATCAAACTCGCACTTGTAAGCGGAGGAATATTTTGGGTCGGGAGTTGCTAAAAGAGCATGTTTGAAAACGTTAAAGAAGGAAAGGAAGGAAGGAAGGAAGGAAGGAAGAAAGGAAG